TTGAAGAGTGGAGCATGAATTTTAGAAGAGGACTAGCAAATTTTGGCGAACTTCAGCATAAAGAGGAAGCTATTCGAAGGATCTGAGATCCGTTCCCCCTTTCCTCCAGATCAAACTTAGTTATGATCTTGAGAAGAGTCGTAATCTCGCTTGGTCAAGATTATCATTTCTGCGATTGTTTCCTTTATAAAGCAAGAGCATTAATTAACTTTTTTGTCAACCGGATATGATCCGTGATGGTCCACGGACTAACGTGTCCTCAGAACAGGCAAAGATCCCACGCGAAGCAGCAGGTGATAAACATCTGTTGCGTGTGTTTTAAGGAGATTGTATTTATTTATTTTTTCATTGTGTAAGAAGATCTTATAAAAAGATTGACTTTTCTCTTTTTTTGAATTTGTAATCAATAAACGATTGTAACAGATTCAATGACAATGAAGAAATTAATTTTTGACATGAACACGCTGGCGACCACAGTGGGAGCCAACAGTCTCGCTGCCGAGACTGTCATGTCGCAACCACATATCAAGATCCTGGTTTAAGAAGAATTCGAATACGAGTTCGACCAGGCCAAGTTTGAGGAATACCTCTCCTCATCCTCATCAAGATCTTCCTCATCCCGCAAGTACAAGAAGATATCGGCATCAAAGAAGGCTCGGGGTGACTCTCGCCTAATTGTTGATCAGGCATCCCCTCGTAACGCTCCTTCGGCATCCAATGAAGTCAAGATTTTAGATCACAACTCCTATTTAGTCTAGGAGTTGTTTAACGATGGCACACCAATTCTGACAAAGAGGGCTCGTCAGAGGCAACGCTAACGCCTCGCACGTCAGCTTGCCAAGGCCTTGGAGCCAATTAAAGAGATACGTTATCACGCGAATCTAAAGTTCAGAGAGCGCCAAGCACCTGAACAACAAGCAAATGACCCCTCCTCCAAGCCACCAACCAGCGAATGGGTCTGTATCAAAAGGACTCATTCAACTCTCGAGGAGCGCATCCAAAAGCATCATACACTACTCGCGCACACACAGATTCTTGTGGAGGAGGCACGGAAGTTGTAGAGGTAAGAGGTGGCCAAGAAACCACCAAAACTATGCCAAGTCTGGAGGCCAAAGTCCAAAACAGCGTCGAAAACAACTCGAACAACGCCCTAAATTGTCAGAAAGTACGAACCACCTCCTTCTAGCTCAGCCAAGGCCAAACCACCTCCTGTTGGCTCAGCCAAAGCTGAGCCACCAAAGAGTGGCTCAGCCAAGGCCGAGCCACCAAATGGTGGCCCGCACTAAAGTCGAGCCAGCTCAGCCCGCCTCGCACTTGATTTACCTCCCACGACCATTTCTGAGTCTCCGACAACCTTGGTCATGTCCTGATGAATATTGCACCTCTGGTGGAGACCCACGACAGCATGGACTTATCTTGATTCAAGATGAAGATTGCGGATTACCTTGGTCCTTTGCACGACGATCAAGACAAACTTCCGATCAAAGAACGCTTGAGTCCGGTGAATGAGTCCCGAGTGGCTATTCAATCTAGGGGTCATACATGCACTCCCTTCAAGTTAAAGTCATCCCATGAATGGAAAATTCTGATAACCGCCTGCTTGGGTTATGTGTCAAAGTCCAAGAGCCCGTTGAGGTCTCACGTTCTCGTAGGCGTGGTTCCAAACATGTGACTCCTAAGAACGCTAATAAAGCATCACATCCTCTGAAGAAGACGTCTCCATTACACGATAATGTCAAACCTAGGGATTCAAACTAACCACCGATAGGTTGCTCCGGCCATAACGCCGATGAGTTGCACTATCAGGCTGGGGGTACGAATAAATCTCAAAAGAGAAGTATCCTAGAATCGGACACTCATTGTCCTTGTAAGAAGTTTATCAGGGAAGTATTATCAGAGTGTAGCTACCCCAAGATCGCTCCATAGAGGGTGTCGGTATTTGAAAGACTCTCCACCAAAATGTTGAAACCCAAGCCAAGGTGTTTCCACAAGAGAAGATCGGCCGTTCAAGATGATAAACTCCAAGAAGTCACTATCAATGTGGTCGATAAAGGAAAGTCAACATAGCGTTTCAGTCCTGAACCTTTTCTGGAAATATCCCAGCATCTAACTCGGCTGCGATCCAGAACTATCAGACCATAAGATTATCAACGAATGAGCAGAGGGTTATCTTCAGATGACGAAGCGTTAGACGCTTGCTCTGCAGTCACTTCGGATGCCACTTTGTCCAGTATAGGATGAGTTTGTGAGGCGTTCATGATCAATGTTGAACAAATGACCAAAATCCTCGAAGACGCTCTGGCCAAGCAAAAAGAGAATTTCAAATTAGAAATAAAAATGAATGTGCAACAGATAAGGGAATTGCATGATCAACAGATTCAAGCCTTATCAAATCAGATTGGTGATTCTAACCATCGCAATGCTACTAATCAAGTAGATAGCGATTCAGACGTGGAGAAAATCTCAACGCTGATACCCCCTGTTGACCAAAATGCTGTAGGTGGTCCCACCGAGGATGACAACGCTGGGGGTGGTCCAGTTATTCATCCCCGAAATCACCCAAAGGAAAATGTGGGCTAGGACGAGAAAATAAAAGACCTAGAGAGAAAAATCTGTTGGCCTCTTTGTTTTGATGATGTTTAACAAATAATTTACTACCAATGTTGTTTATCTAGTGTTTGTGTTTATCTATTTATTGTAGACAAACATGTTGGAGGTTGGATGGAATTACGCCATAACGATCGTATCAAATAGAGGTTAGCGGAAATAGTAGAGTGAAGCAATGCAATTCAAGTTTAAGCTTTATCCGCAAGTTTACCAAGTCGAGCTATATTGAAGACCTACAAGCTTGGGTATATAGTTTATAGTATTTGTAGTATAGGTTTATACTTGTGTGCAAATATCTTAAGTTCAATATTATACACACACAATTTAATGGTTTATGTGTTGTATCCATAAAAGTTTTTGCAAACAAATAGATATATAATACTTATTTGTTTTATATATGGATAAGTTATTTTGGTTTAGCTATATTGATA